ATATAATATATATATAAAATAATAATAATAATTGTAAAATAACATTAATCACCTGGAGATAGATGTAACATACTGTCATTRTATTCCAGTTCATGTTGATGTTCATCTATGTCTTCTTTTGGYGAGTGCAAGTCCTCCAAGTAAGGAACAACTGACATGCTCCGTAGTGGGTTGTCATTCAATGGGGGAATAGGAACATATGGTTCTACTCTAGGGTGATTCTTTTGAACCCATCTGAAAAAAAGACTCATGTCACTAGGCAAAAATAATGTCCCATTTTTTTTCGTTTCTTTTTTTTTGTAATTTAACATTTTTTTATAGTTTTACTATTTTCTTAAGTCAAACTGTGAGATTTTACGTTGCAATCTTGAGACTGGGAAATATGGTTCAAAATCTTGACACTTGTGGCAAAGTTAATACACTTTGCCACAAGTTTACCAGCAGTTTACTTATAAAATAAGGTACATTGTAAACTAAAGCTTACAATACCTGTGGTGACGCATCTGTTGTAATGTAAATCTCTCAGCAGGATCAGAATTTAGCATACCTGTAGGTAACATGAAAGACCTAAAATTATAGCTTTTCTATTACTAAGGGCTTTTTCACTGACTTTGGTGTCACAGGTTAATAGAAACAACTTTCTCGATATCATTTTAAAATAAGTACAAACACAAAAAAAACTGTCTTAAAGTAAGGTAACAAGCCATTACAGCTGAAACCGTTGTATCGCAACTTCAATGTTAAAAAGAAATCGTTAGGATTAAGGTTTTTCTGCGACTTTGGGGCAGAGCTTGCTGCAAATCAGCCAGTGATTGAATGAGTTTACATAAAGCTCCTTCCCTTAGATCAAAGGAAAGAACAAAATCAAATCAAACTTTGAAAAAAAGACGTCGAACAATGCAACAATTTTCGCTGTAAAACTGTTGACAAGCTCTCTCCATATAAAACAACAAATAACAACATTAAAATAATGCAATTTATGTAATTATTCATAACCTCTTAGTAGATCAGAAAGCAATTCATCCACACAGTCAGGGATGGTAAAAACACCTTTGCCAATATTTTCAAATAACTTGTAAATGCTTTCCCCCTCAAAGGGGTATTTTCCAGTGGTTATATTATACCTGAAAACATCAATAAATATTACCATTAAAACACTTCTCTATATCATTAGACTGAGTATCAGGTCTTCAGGGGAGGGGGATGGATGGAGGGGGATGGGTGGACTGGGGGATGGAGAGAGGAACAGAATAAAGGACCCATAATAAACTTCTGAACCTTTTACTGTAGGTCACTTYTCGATTTTCAATGCATTGTGGGATCCGCTTCTAGAGAAAACAAAAGAAATCCACTCACCATGTTCTATCTCAAACATATCCCACAATGCAATGCATATATTGTATACACATATGACGTAAAAACTTCAGGTCTTTGTGATCACTTTATTCTTATAAATATTTGAGATTATGCTATGTTCTGACTAACTCTCTGTTATTCTGGCTAATAATTATAATATTATCAATGACCATATGCTTATAGCATGGCTAGTAGCTGACATCATGCTCTTTAAAGCTAGAATTATTATTTCCTGGGTGGAAAATCATGTTTTGTAAACATGATAATTATCAGGCATGATAATTATCAGGTTAAATTTTATAAACAACTTATAAAACAGCTGGGTTTTTTACATGTATATCTTCYATTAGGGCAAGTTTGAAGTTTCAAAGCACACGATGAAATCCACGATAAGGAAATTCACTTTGAAGTTTTTAAATTTAATATAATTTATTTCSAAACACAGTTCAGAATACCATATTGTGTATTGTCAGGAATGTGAACCAAATATTATTTGTGCTGAATACTCACAGTGTAACTCCTGATGCCCAAATGTCAACTTTAAATCCAGAAAACGTTTCAACACCATTGGCTATTTCTGGTGGCTGAAAGGCTGGTGATCCTTGACTGGTCCTGCACGTGTCATCTGGAGCGAATCTATCAAGACCCTGATATTAAAAACGATTATCAAATTCATTAATAATTCATGAGAAAAACAAAATGGAAAATCATTGCTTCCACAGCATCCTTATATGGGCAAGAGATTTGTCCTGATTTGCAGAAGACTTTAACTTCTGATTTTCTCTTAAAAAATATTAATATTTTGTCTTGAAGTTAGCTTACTTCATAAGCTTTAGCTTATGTTCTAATTTGACAAGCAATAAAATTATTCACGCTCAACCTTTATGGGCTTAAAACAGCCTTGCTTGCAGCTCGTAGTTTTAAATGCCTCCCCAATTAAAGGTCTCCGTCTCAAAACATGGACAACCATGACTTGTTTACAGCAGAAAGAATTGCATCACTACTTGAAAATTAAAGCATTTAATGGAGAAGGAGTGTATAACTTCTTCATGTTCATATGCCTTCCATGTAGTCATGAAGCAGGTTTTTTTATGAATTTTCTAAACAAATGGTGCTGTTCTTACCTCCGCGACACCAAAATCAGAAATCTTGAGGGTTTCATCAGTGGTTAATAATAAATTACTTGGTTTTATATTTGATTTATGGTCAAGGTCAATTGAACTATTTCAATTACTGTACTTTATTATGATCATAGAWTTTTACTGTAAATTGCAAAAAAGGCTGAGTCACTTTCAAAATAACAAGACATGTACTTCATTTAYTGGCTTTTCATTCATGGTTCCAATTCCTTTGATTTTATGTTGACTAAATTATCACCTTGACTAAGTGATTACAACTTGCTGTAGTTTTTTACACTGCAATATATTCATACTTCATGGTATTACCTATTACAAGCTATGTCTTGTTTCTGAATAAAACAGTACTGTTGTGAAATAAGATAAATTTTTAACACTGCAAAAATTAGGTGATTGAATTAACTTTCGAACCTTGATCTTTCACCAGATAGTAAAGTATAAAAGTGGGCTAAGTTTGATTTTATATAAAGAAAGGAGAAAAAAGTAGACCAATATACAAAAAGGATATCTTTATGTACAATTCCTTGAGAATGTAGATATTCTAAACCATTAATCAGCTGGCAAAAATATCTGAGACAGGAAGAGGTAATAATATTAGAAACAATTAACAATCACACATATATGAAAGAAATGGATAGCGAGATGGAAATTCCTGTTTGTATTCTATTAATTTTTGTACACCTTAAAACATATTATTTGCACCTTTCAATGCAGATTCTGAAACTGGGGGAATTGAATAATGCCAGTTTTCTCTTGAAGCCGTTTTTGGATTGTTCTTACTAGGTAGCCATGCAATAGTCTCATGCATGGTAGCCTGCGTCATCTTGAAAGGTAGAATGATGTGTCTTTAAATTAAACCAAGATGACGATTGGCTGTGCAATCATAGAAACCTTCTTTCAMAGCTATAGGAAATTATTAACAGGCATCTATCATTGCACGTTCACTTGAGCCATCTTGCTCCAATGCAGAGGCACACCTTTCAAGATGGCACATGAAGTCATGTAGGTGACCATCCCAGTCTCATGGATAAATAGCAATTTTTATAATTTTGTTCGATGACACTGACCATGGTAAATACATGTACCACAAGAACCTATCATAGATTTGCTAACAATCTTATATAAGGAAAACATGATAAGATAATGATCACATAGCTTACCCATGGGCTTGTGATATTGGAAATTTATGATCATCTACACTTTCAACCATTTCTTGTAGTTCTCCAACACAATACTCCATTATCATGTATTTGAACAATGTTAAGGTAGAAAAATCTTAATCACACAGAAAGATTTYATTCTATTCATTGTTTTCAACAAACAATTTTTATCTCCAACCACAGAAGAAATGGTCTTTGTCTTCCAACMTTCCCAACCACATTCAAATGGAAACTCAATCTTGATCACTTTTGTTTGCTCTTCAGTAAATTTCTATTTCTCCTCAAAAGACTGTAGTTTGATTTTATTTGTTTGGGATTTTTTACTTATAACTTGGTGTAGGTCTGTTTAGTCTTAGATAATTTAATATTGATGTCTAGACAGAGCGCTATTGGAACTGATACTACTAACATTTAAGCAGTATATTTTGTATATGACAGCAAAATCATTAAATCCCTAAAACGCTACTRAGTGCTTACATGTATATAGGAAAGAATCACTCAAAATAATAGGGATTAGTTCTAAATCCTTCTCCTTAAGTGTTCAACTTTAGATTTTCTAGTTTTCAAATAATCATATTAGAATTGAATATCTAAATATGTCAAAAAAACATGAATTTGTGCATCAAGTTTGTCACAATGATAGCACAATAATGAATCTGTTCAAATTTTGTGTCAAACTTCATTGATTCATGTGTCATGAAGCTGTTCATGTGCCATATTCAAACAATTTGGTTTGGCAATATCATAATGCCTGATATATGTCAATATACATATGCCAATGATCGCCTGACACTATTTTGATGGTGTTTTGTTTACCTCAATTATTTTTTTGGTCATTAAATGCCAATAATATCACGTTTTCCATTCTTGCCCTCTCACAACCCAAACCATACATTAAACCCTCATCCCACAGAAACAAATAGGTTGAGTTTGACATAWTACAGCTATATGTATGAATCACTTTGGCACAAATACCACTACTGCTGCATAGCAAAATCTTGAGATCAATTCAAATATTGAGCTGTTGTTGRGCAGAAATAATTATATGCACAAATATATCATTTTATSAACAATAATAGTGGATATGATTGCATGTTAATCTGACCTTTTCTTATGATTTTGACTTTACTTGTACGACCAACATGGATATCAATATTGTACCACATATATTGGTTTGTCATGACAACAACAAGATGTACAATGTATCAACTGGGCTTAAAACAATTAAATATGTTGTGACAATCAAAGTGAAAGAGTGCAAAGGCATAAATTAGCATTTTACAATAAACTGTGTGCAAAATGTGTACTGATATCCATTCMAGCATCCTGATAGAGAAAAGACTTTGAGTTGTCATGCTTACAAAAAGTAAAAAGCTTACTTTAGAACTGGTATTAAATGAATTGACCCTTTCTGTGCTTTGACCTTAGAGAGCTTTGATTGAYACGGAAGCAAAAGTGATCAATTATTACTTCGTAAAAAATTAAAAATTAAATTTTCATTCATTTAAGAAATTTTATTAATGACAACAAACACCTTTAATCTATTTTACCCCCCAGATTTTTGAAGCAAACTACAGCAAAATACTGCTTTAACCTGAGGAGAAGCGAGGAGTAACACTTAAAATTTTTACAAATCAAACATTTGTAAAAGGATATATTTTTTGCTTTTCTTCGTTGTAAATAACATCGTATAGTTTGATAACATTGTTATGGTGTAAACGCTTGAGTAACTGAATTTCTCTGCAAACAAAACAAACGCGGCAAAAAAAAAATCAAAATAGAATCAAATCTTTTTACATGAAGTGCCTYATCCACCTTACCTTTTAACATTCTGCTCGCCATTAGGAATTCTTCTCAACCGTCTTCTGGTTAAAATTTTTACCGCACACCTTCGCAGTCTCTCACAATCCAGCATTTCTTTAACTTTGCTATAAGCACCTTCTCCCAGCACGTCACCCATCAAATACTTGCCGATAAGTTTAGCGCGCTTGATTTTGGGCACATAAATAATATTGGAGTCTACTCTATGAAACAAACCAGTATCTTCTTCTAACCAGGAATGAGGGTCAACTATAGGTGCATTTTCTGCACACTTTTCTAACAACTTGTCTTGAAATAAGCTTAATTCCTCCACACTGTCTCCCATATAAAATCTTGGTTGTTCCCCATTGTCGCAAACCATTTTGTCCACCATTTGGCGACACTGAATTAAGAGCTGGACACATTAAATTGTGTTGTACTCCGTCATGCTGGAGGAAATTTGAAAAACTCCACCTCCATCAACAACATTCTCGCCGCCATTTTGTTTGCATGTAACGACTTCTGACGTCATATCGCGCTTTTTAAAAACCCAGGTTCCCTTCATAGGTCACCGGTATTGCTAGACACAGGAAACCCACAGCGGTGATTACATTAAACATCTCGGAGGGATGGGTATCCTCCTTTGCAGACATTATTTGTGGACAGGATAGTTTTTTTGTGTCTAGGATAGGGCATAGTCTCATTGTCTGGGATAGGGTCGGTAGTTTTGTCTGGGACAGGATAGTTTTTTTTGTCTAGGATAGGGCATAGTCTCATTGTCTGGGGTAGGGTATCATTTTTTGCCCTTTTGTCTGGGATAGGGTCGGTAGTTTTGTCTGGGACAGGATAGTTTTTTTTGTCTAGGATAGGGCATAGTCTCATTGTCTGGGGTAGGGTATCATTTTTT